ACTGAATTCCCCACCCGGATCGGAACGAATAATTTTGACAGGTTTACCAAACTGAGTCTGAATCATATTAAGAAATTCAATAGCAACAGATTTGAGATCAGATTTCAGTCTAAGTAGATAAATCCAAGTGTACCGGGTAGCATGATCAATAAAAAGGGCAAAATATCGGAATCCATGTCGAGAAAGAACAGGGGCAGGTCCCCAAAGATCAGTATGTATCACATGAAAAGGTTCTGTAATGATAGTTGTACTGGAAGGATAGGAAATACTGGCAGTTTTAGCTTCAACACAGCTGGTACAGGAGTGAATTTCTGGAACACTGACACGGGTTTTACCAAGCAATGACTTTTGAAACATAACAGAAAGACGAACTGAGTGGGGATGCCCCAGGCGAGCATGCCACAGATCCCACTGCTTATTTGGCGAATTTGAAACAGCTAAACAAGAACTAGACAACGGACTACTGACAGACCTAACAACATGAGGAATTGAGTGCCCATGTAGCTCGTCCAGATGAAAGAGACGCCCCTGCTTACTCCCCCTTCCGATCAGACTCCCCGTCTTCGAATCCTGTATAACACAACCAGACGGAGCAAACGACACAGTATACCCTTGTTCAGTAAGTTGACCAACTGAAACAAGATTGGGAACAAGAGCAGGCACATATAGAGTATTCTGTAAAGATACATTTTTGTCCATAACATTTCCCATACCCGTTACCTTCAATTTCGATCCATTCGCCACAGTCAAATCAATATTTTGAACTGGAGTAACATCTTTTAAAGCTGTAGTATCGCAGGTCATATGATTATAGCAAGCGGAGTCAAGAAGCCAAGGGGACCGATTCTTACCTGTCCCTTGCAAGGTTGCAAAAGCTTCACTGATAGCAGCACTCACTATTTGCTCGACCGTCTGCACGGACACACCACTGCTAGCACCATTTCCTGCGGCATGCCCACCTTCTCCAACAGTTGTTCGACTGCCGCTTGCCTCACCCGAAGTGTAGCTACGACTACCACCTGTAGCAGTCCAGCGAGCATTATCCCCTGCTGAAGACCCCCACCGAGAAGCATCAGCAGCATTAAAGGCAGCTGCATTAAAGGCACTATAAGCCGCCTTTGCTCCATACCGAGACCGAGCAGCCTAAAAATTTCGACCTGACTGAGTTGTTCCCTCTCGTGGACCTCCTTCACGGGATTCATTTCGCTCCTTTGTGCGGCAGTCTAGGATTATATGCCCCATCCTCTTGCAATATACGCAAAAATTGCGTCGGCGACAATGTTTTTGTAAATGGCCCTTCTCCCTGCAGTGATGACACACCAAATCTGAAACAGGAATTCGTCGCTGGAATTAAGGTCAATTTATGGCATAGGCCGAAGGATCGTGAGCTGCTCCGAGGCTGTGTTGTCCCGCGGCAACGGCGACTAGTGCCTCCCCTTGTCCCGGACGCGCATCTATGGCAGCTTGCGTCCTCAGGCGGGTTTCCTCCCTCACTAGAGTGCCAAGCACCCCATCAAATTGCAGAATGTCCCGGTTCAGTAGAGTGGCATGAACGGACTCAAATTCCGGCCGTAATTTCATGAGAAAATCCATGAGCCTGGTCTGCATATGTTCAGCTATAGCTTCTTCAGTGAGAACATTCTGAGGTCGCAGAGCAGCATGGAGGAGGTCTTGCTCCGTCCAGAGTTCCTGTGCGTTATTGAAGTATTCAGAAATGGATCTATCTCCCTATTCTAGCCGCGTCCGAGCCGTCTGGACCTCAAACTGCCGTGCTGCGTTCACGGTGGAGTACATGACGGCGAGATGACGCCACATACGATTCGCTGTCGGATATAAACGGAGACTGAGACAGGTAAAAGGATCTACCGAGCTAAGGAGCCACGATCGGACGCGAGCGTCGTTCTGATTCCAGGCGCGTACCTCTTGAGAAGTGGTCGCTTCTTCTGGTTTTGGCTGCGTCCCATCGAGTATGCCCAGCAGATCTTTCCCTTCGACGAACACCCGGAATTGAAACTCCCAGAGTGCATAGTTGGTGGAGTTTAGACGAACGGTAGGCCGATTAGAAGCTCTGATACCATGTTGAATTATCTTACTGTACGGAAATTGTAAACGGACAAAGAACACGGATTTACGTGGTATCCCTGGAAATCCAGGACTAGTCCACGGAAGAGCGCTAGAACACTCTTCGGCTGTAGTTCTTACTGATGGAGTTTGATGATCAATACAGGAGATAAAGTGCACATATAAAAAGACCCTAATGGCCGAACCCTAGCTCCACGGGAACACAGACTTAACGTGGGCTAGTGACAGTTGCATGGGCCAAGACTAACAGCTAACACTATTGGGCCGTCTAACACTTACGATATGAGCATCAATTTTTCAACCAGGAAACGGTGTCTACTCGTTGAGAAAGACTTGGTGAGCAAATCTGCAACCTGGTCTTCAGTACGTATGTAGTGTAGAACAATCGATCCATCTGGTACCTCATCCCGGATATAGTGCACATGTATCTCAATGTGCTTCGTACGATCATGCAGCACTGGGTTCTCTGCAATTCTAATTGCACTGGTATTGTCAACAAACAAATCCATGGGACTCTTGCAACATACACCCATATCAGTAAGAATCCGTCTCAGCCATGTCAGTTCGGAGGTCACATCAGACATCGCCCTGTATTCAGCCTCAGTAGATGACTTTGAAATCTTATCCTGCTTCTTGCATCTCCACGAAATAAATGAGTTCCCAAACTGAACACACCAACCTGTAGTAGACCGTCTGGTGTCTATACAACATGCATAATCTGAGTCTGAGTAGGCTCGTAGAGTATCCGAACTTGTAGAAGGAAAATATATACCAACCTCTCGGGTTCCCTGCAAGTATCGAAGTATGCGGTACACTGCTGCCAAATGATCTACTCGAGGATCACACATAAATTGACTCACCAATTGAACAGCATAAGCAATGTCTGGGCGAGTGGCTGATAAGTAGATTAGACCCCCAACTATACTCCGATACTGTGAACCATCCTTCACTCTCTCTCCTGAGTCCCTGCTCAACTTCAGATTACACTCCATCGGAGTATTTACCGGCTTGCAGTCCTCCATGTTATGATCACTGAGCAGATCACTAATATACTTCCTCTGACTGAGTAATATACCATCCTTAGTACGAGAGACCTCCAGCCCGAGGAAGTATGACAAATCTCCCTAATCTTTTATCCGAAAAGCCTTCTGCAACCCTTCTTTCAATTGTTGAATGCCCTCCAAATCTGAACCTGTGATGATCATATCATCCACATAAAGCAAAAGCAGAACAATACCCTTCGGAGTGGTCTTGACAAATAGAGATGGATCGTTCAAGCTCTGGCTGCAGCCAAGGTCTAGTAAAGTAGCCTGAAAAGTTTCAAACCATACTCGAGGAGCCTGCTTTAACCCGTACAGTGATCTGTTTAGCCTGCATACCTGGCCAGGAGTCCCCACGTTATAACCGGGTGGTTTCTCCATGTAGATAACTTCATCTAAATCCCCATGGAGGAGCGCATTCTTCACGTCAAGTTGAGCTAGTGGCCAATGCTTCATGAAAGCTACTGCTAGAAGAGTTCGGACCGTAGACATTCGAGCCACAGGAGCAAAGGTCTCAGTGTAGTCCACCCATGCTCATGTGTATATCCAAGTGCGACGACTCAGGCCTTATGACGCTCAATCGAGCCATCCAGAAGCATTTTAATAGTGTACACCCACTTACTGCCAATCGTCAGAGTGTCAGGTGGACGGTCAACTACGGTCCATGTATTGTTCGCATGATGTGCATCAAATTACGAGATGGATCGATTGCTCTACACTACATACGTACTGAAGACCAGGTTGCAGATTTGCTCACCAAGTCTTTCTCAACGAGTAGACACCGTTTCCTGGTTGACAAATTGATGTTCATACCCCGACATCAATTTGGGGGAGGATGTTAAATGTACATTCTGCCACTTGTTGTAAATTAGTACGTAAGTGTTAGACGGCCCAATAGTGTTAGCTGTTAGTCTCGGCCCATGCAACTGTTAGTCTCATTAGGTTTCTAACTCAACACTAGCACAAGGAAATCAAAGTTAAGATAGCCTAACAGTAAAGCTGCCGCAAAAGTGAAGGTTTGGGAGTTGCAGATCTCAAGTTAGATTCAAGCGAGGTTCGTTGGTGCCAGGGGCGGACCCACTTACAAGAGTGATTTGTCAATTGACAAACCTTATATGCAAAACTTGGACAAATTACTAGTGTGAAATTTGATTTAAGTGATGGTAGTATATGGATTTGAAATCATTTGACAACCCTTAGTGATTTTGATTCATCGTTGAATACCCTTGATGAAATTTCTGGGTCCGCCTTGGTGCTACAGGAGGTATAAGATTGTTCGATGAGAAGCCTCATTGGCGTCGAAATTGATTGCAGATGGCCCCGCTGTCACAAAATGGCACGTGAAGCTGAGATTGATGAGTAATAAAAAAACACTAGCACAAGGAATACAATCATAACCCCTTTTTCTTATAATGGTAACTCAACACATGCGTTATGGTACATGATTTATTATAAAAATGCTAACTACATTCATAAATGTAATATACCAAAACATTAAGCAAACCAGGAAAACAGATGGACACAAACTCATAACAGATTCAAGCATTACAACAATTTGTAATACTATATTTACCTAGTATGATGAGTGGGATAAGAGGTGAGTGATGTTTCGTTGAGAGACTATTGAATCTAGAGTAGCTAATTATCCACTTTATATCAGAGACCAGGAAACCGTACCGGACCGGCCGGTCGGACCGGGAAAACCGGAAAACGGAGCTGAAACGGCCCAATAAGGGCTTTGTACCCTCCAGAATCATGCCGGCCAGTATTTTCGGTTGGACCACAATGGGCCGGAATTTTGGCCGGTTTTAATAACAACAGCGGTCCACTTCATTTTACTAAACGGCGCCGTTTTGACGCAAAGTTAAAAAAAAAACGAACGGAAAGCATTAAGCAGAGGAGAAACCCTACCTTCGTCTCTGCCCGCGCCGCTCGTCTCTGATTCTCTCTGCCTCTCGTCTCCCTCCTCTGCCCGCGCCGCTCTGCCAGTCTGCCTGTCGTCTCCCCGCGCCGCACCGCCGCTCTGCCTGTCGTCTCCCCGCCCCGCGGCGCGCCGCTCTGCCAGTCTGCCTGTCATCACCCCGCGCCGCGCCGCCCGCCGCTCTGCCTGTCGTCTCCCCGCGCCGCACCGCCACTCTGCCTGTCGTCTCCCCGCCCCGCGGCGCGCCGCTCAGCCTCTCGATCTCCCGGCGACAGCGTCCTCCCCAGCAAGGCAGCAACCAAACAGCCGGCGACTCGTCCTCCCCACTCCCCAGCAACCGAAGACGACGAATAACTGGAATTTTTCCCCGCTTCAATTTTCCAGTTGTTGCCGCGGGAACAACTGGAATTAATTTCTTCGACGGCGAAATCATCGCCTCCATTGGCGCTGCAAGCAATTGGTTCCATATTCTAAAGGTAATTTTTCACAGAATCGATGGATCTTCTTCTTTATATCTTTGGATTTGGATTGTTCTTTCTGCTATTTTAATTGCCGCCTTTCTCAAATTTCTTGCCCATCCGAATGAAATTTTTTGTGATTAGGCTGATAAGTTGAAATCTTTTTGTTGTGGGGTTGTTGATAATCACAGTGGGAATGAGTAAGTATGGTTTAAACCTGCGGTATAATCCGGTTTTACTCAGGTATTTTCCCGGTATGGTACCCTAATTTTGCCGGTACGATTTTTTAATAAAAAAAATAAATTTTTTATTCCAAAAACGGTATTTACCGATAGGAAACGGTTGAACCATGGTTGTACCACGATTTACCATGCCAAAGACGATTCCGGTTTGATGTCCGGTACGGTTTCGTAATCCATGCTTTATATGTTAAAACTGACTATATGTTCCTAGAGGTACAACGTTTGTGGTTATCTACTTATCTCGATAATGTTATCTATCTTGTGGTAAGAAAAATATATTTCATCTTGGTCGCTATATTTATCTAATAGTCGCAAAATCGCATTTTTGGTATTTTTTATATATATCTCAACTGTGCTTGAGTACCATAAACAACTTCAGATTTGACATTCTTATATTTGAACTATATTATTATTTTCAAATTTTTAAAAGAAATAAATAGTTACTCGTTATTTTTGCATTTGATATTCTATATGATAATATTTTCAGTCTTAATAAAGTAGGCTAAAGATTAGTTAATCCTTCAAATCTGCAATTTATCCTTCGGCTACCATTGAATTATGCCCACTCATCTGCACAGACTAAAACCAAAACCCATGATTCCAAACTGTTCACCATTATTACTAAATGTCAGACGCCCGTTTATTAATCACTATTTCGACAGATGCATTAATTCAACTAATAATTAGCCTTGATGGCGTACCATATCTAGCTCTAACCCATGTCAGATTGTCAGTTTGTAAGTACGAGAAGATGAAATTAGACAACATAAATTAATAAGAGACACTCGAAGTCACAAGCTCGTTTAGATCAGATTCCCGACACACAATCACAAGTAAGATACATAGTAATTGGGTTACTGCAGATGTTTTTGATCTGCGGGTTATTTTTGTTATCTTGTACAGTTTTGAATCATAATTTAGAGTGAGTAAAAGGATTTTAATTATGAAATAACAGTAGTGCATGAACATGTCACAAACGGGACGGCCAAGAAAAGAATGAGCCAAAAGAGAGTAGCATGGCAGCTGGAGGAGCGCCCATATGGTAGAGTAAACCACCTTCTTCTTCGAGCTAATATTCTTGATCAGCGTGAGAAAGGAATCATTTCCTCACATTTTCTATCAATCAATTCAAGGTGAATGAACCCCGGGGAGGAAAAAAGTAGTTGATCGATGGAAGAAGAAGAAGAAGACAATAATAATAGAGGAAGAGGAGCATACTCGAAGTTCTTTACTCCTTGGTCCTTACTTACCTGGTGACGGCTGTTTCTATATATTTTTCCCAGTCAATCCTCATCCCACATGGGTTGATAGGTCATACGAGTATAGCTATTAAAGAGTCGAGTCGAGTTTTGTCTTTTTCTTGTTCGGTTTGTTTATAAATGAGCTGAGCTCGACTCGTTTATAAACGAGCCGAGACGGGTCGAAAAATAGCCAGCTTATTTATTATATCTTGACACATCATCAAGATCGAAAGTTTGGCTCGAGCTCAACTCTAAGATAATTTATAATATAAATACTCTAATATTTACATGTCATATGTGATAAATGTGATTACTTATTATTATATCATATAGACGTATTTGTTTACATATACTCAATGTATTAAACACCATATGAGTTGATATATACAATTTAATAATTATATGCATCATTAACAAACCAATTCATAAAATATAGATTAATTTTCTCATAAGCTGTAGTATAGTTGGCTCTCTAGTCACAATGTTAGGATATCTCATAAGCTCAAAACAAGACAGTTCATGAGTTGTATTAACGAGCCACCTAATCGAGCTAGTTCACGACCCGAACTAGTGCTCAAGCTCGGCTTGTTTGTTAACAAGCCGAGCTTTTTTTTTTAACCGAACGACCTTTTATCGAGTTCGAGACCGAGCCGCTCACGAATAACTCGGTTCATTAACAACCCTACATAGGAGTAGTATTGTGTATAAAGGCTTGTGATGAGATTAAGGAGTTCAAACAATAAGCATCGGTGTTTGTGATGTTGACCATACCAATCAAGGATATCAGTTAAATGATGTATTAGTGATCAAATCAATATGGTTTTACTTAACACGGATAAAGGATTCGTTATCGAATATAAAATTGTATGTCTGTATTATCTCTTAATTAAACCGTAAGTATTACTGGTTTGATCTTTAGTATGGTTTCTCAATCCAGGAAAACAATGCAAATCTCTTATTGGGGATATATGCAAAACGTTGAATTTTGTGTTATTTATTTGGCCCAATACTCGATTATAATCTGTACTCACTGGGCCTGTTCATTAGATAACCACATTTTGAACATAAAAGTCACGAGTTTGATTCCCCCCTCAACTCAACTGGCTTGTGCGGAGTTGTCGGATGACTACCAACAGGAGAAATATTGAACGAAAGTCGTTTGTAGCAATCAAATAGAGCAAAATCAAATAAAAAAGTTATCTAACGTAGAACTCTGTGAAATCGTGACACGCTTTCCCGCAATAATTTGAGATCATAAAAACTATCTCAAGTGATATCCACCTTTTAAGTTGATGACTAAGGGCCATGGCTCTAATGAAGCAGTCCATACTCCATATATATATCCCCAAACACCGGCACCCAAAAGTATCGACAAAGAAAGTTCAAAAACTACATTAACCATTCGTGTACTTAACTTAAACCACTGAACCAGTCCCAAGGAAAGGTAGCCAGAACCAGAAATGAATCTCTCACCACAGTGGAACCAAATTTAAGCAATCAACAACAGGAACCGTTGGGAGACAGCAGACATAAATTCAGGAAACCAAAGAAACATGGGAAAGGTCGTGGGAGAGAGGAAGCATCATGTGATTGTGTTTCGTTCTTCATGTGACTCTTATTAAATGTAATAAAGTACGTAGTCCAAAGTTCAACTGCTCCCTGCTCCCAAAGTCTCTGCCTTTCCTACGATGACATGCTTCACAATCACATGCAGCAGCTCCCTCATTCCCCAACCCAACCACTTGTTTCTTTCTTTCAAAAGCAGCGTAGATTGCGTTACAGATGACTTTGTAGTTTAGTGTGCACATCCAGCAACGTACGTTCTCGCTTTCTTTTATTATGGTCTCGTAACCGTGACCGTGCTTTGTGCTGGATCATATGAAAGTTCTCTTTTTTAAGGGGGGGATTTCGCATCATCATCGTGGGAGAGACGAGAGGGATGAATTGGTTTCGTCTTCTTTACTGCTTTTGAGGTGTAAAACTCAGGAAATGAGAACGGGTGTGCTTAAGGTACGTGAAGACTTGCGAGGAAGTAATTTGAAGCCGTGATCTAATCATTTTTTTAGAGTATTATCTACCTTCTCTATTAATTGTTCGTAGGAAATAGATAAATCACTCTCAGAAGTTCATTTCAATTAAAATCGGAAACCAACAATCTTCCAGACTTCTATGTTTATGATATACAAGGTAAACTTGGATGAAGAAGAAGAAAGTTGGAACGAAAAATTGGTTGCAACGGTCTTTTATTGTAAAATCATAGTTCCCTTCTGAAAGGTTACTTCAGTTCACAAAACTCGAACTTAAGTAACCATAAGATTTTAATTTGAAAAATTTTCGAAATTAATTAGTTAGATAGCCAAAAAATGATTCTGGATTGCTTTGCGTAAACGTGATAAGTGTGTAGTGCGATTTAATATTGTTTCAAAAAACTTCAAAAAATTCAATAACCACTTGCACTCTTCTTTTTCCTGTGTGGTATTTCCACTTTAGGTGAGTAACTCGAACAATCCCTTACTTAGTCAAGAAGAGTTAATGCATAACAGAAACATATTTTTTCGATTTGTTCTTTACTTCGTGTAAGCAACTCAAAGTTCACAGCAAATCATTGACAGGCTCAAGCCTAGGAGTCATGATTCAAAGCATCAACCGGAAATAGATAGATCACTCTGACTCAGAAGTCTCTTCAATCAAAATCGGGAAGCAACCATCTTCCACACTTTTGTGTTTGAGTACAAAAGAAGCAAAATAAGAAGGTTAGAACGAAAATTGGTTGCAAAAATCTTTTATTTTGAAATGATAGTTCCTTTTGAAAGGTTATTTAGCTTCAGTTCACAAAACTCAAACTTAAGTAATCATAAGGTTAATTTAAAAATCCAAAATTAATTAGTTAGATAGATAGTCAAAAAATAATTCTGGATTGCGTTGTGCAAACGTGTTAAGTGTGTAGTGCGATTTAATATGTGTTTCAGAAAAATTCAAAAAACCCAATAACCACTTGTACTCTTCTTTTTCGGATGTTGTATTTCCACTGTAGGTGTCTAACGCGAACAATCCCTCACTTAGTCCAGAAGAGTTAATGCATACGTACATGTATCTTTTTGATTTGATCTTTGATAGAAACTTTCATTTTAGTACTTTGATTAATTGTCGGTTTATTGCTATTTCGGATTATTGGGGAATCTTTTATAAGTTGGGTAGCAGTAGGGAATTATCCATTTTTTATATAAACTACTTGTATGTGGGATTAGGCTACTAAGCAAGCATAAACCTAAATCCTAATTGTCAACTCTCTCTCTCTCTCTTCCCTTTCCCCTCTATCAAGAGCTCCCTCCCTTTCCCCCAAGGCAGCCGCGCGGCCAGACTCTCTCTCCCCTCCTTCTTCCATTCGCCCAACCCAAATCCTCTTCTCACTCATCTTCTGTTCATCCCGGGATCAATCCCTTGTTGATCTCTCACCAATCCCAATCCCTAGATAGAACCTATTTCTCGGGGTTCTATCATTTGGTATCAGAGCCCCGTTCTTGATCACACAAAGACGATCAAGA